TTTGTATGTGTAAGGGCTGAAAGTTGTGTTTCTGTGTATGTACACAGGATGCAGTGTGTGCGTCTGTAAGGGATGCATTGAGTGTGTGTGAGGGGTGCATTGAGTGTGTGTAAGGAATGCATTGTGTGTTTCTGTGTGTGTAAGGGATGCATTGTGTGTAAGGGTTGCATTGCTTGTGTATGTGTGTCTGTGTGTAATGCATTGTGTGAGTGATGAATTCTGTGTTTTTCTGTGTGCAAGGTGTGCATTGTCTTTGTGTGTAAGGGGTGCATTGTGTGTGATTGTGTGTGTGTGATGGATGTCAATCTCTCCCCCCTTCCTTGTCAATCTCTTCTCCCCCCTTGTCACTCTCTTCTCCCCTCCCCCTCCCCACTCTCATCCCCCTTCCTGTCAATTTCTTTCCCCCCCTCCTGTCAATTTCTTTCTCCCCCCCTCCCCTACCTCTGTTGTAGCGTGGCCGAGCTCTGTATGGTCCGCGGGTACAGGGAGCTTTTGTTTCCTGTACCCGGCCGGACTAACAGGAAGTGCACAACCAGTGTGCACTTCCTGTTAGTCCGGCCGGGTACAGGGGACATATGCTCCCTGTACCCGCGGACCATACAGAGCTCGGCCACGCTACAGTGAGGGAGTGACAGGAGGGAGCGCTGAGTGCTGAGCGCTTCCCTTCTGTCAGCCCCTCTCCTCATGCTGCACCCGGGCGGTGCGCCCTCATGGACGCACCAGCCCGGGCAAAGCTGCAAACAACTGAGGCTCTCTACAGAGCCCCCGGGTGGCTGCAGCATGAGGGGGGCAGGCACTCCTGGCGGCGCCCCTTCCCAATGGGCGCCCTAGGCGGCTGCCTAGTCCGCCTAATAGGTAGCACCGGCCCTGGTTAAATATTTAGGATTCCATATTTCCGTAGGTCAAAGAATAATAGGACCTGAAAGAAAAGAAGCAGTGTGTCAGATATCTATACCTAAGAATAGAAGACAAGTGCGAGAATTCTTAGGAGCAGAAGGATTCTGTAGGATATGGATTCCTAATTATGTGATACTGGCGAAACCTTTATATGAAGCTGTGAAAGGCACAGAATATGACCCCTTTTTGTGGACCTCTGAACAACAGAAGACATTTGAAGATGTTAAGAAAGCACTTATGAGTGCCCCAGCCCTAGGTCTACTAGATCACATGCATCCTTTCTATCTGTACGTACATGAGCAAAGAAGAATGGCTGTGGGAGTATTAACTCGGTATTTGGGATCATTACAAAGACCTGTAGCTTATGTGTCCAAACAGTTGGATGGCCAGTGGTCTTCCACCTTGTCTTCGAGCAGTGGCCGCCGCTGCCCTGTTGGTAGCAGAAGCTAACAAGCTCACATTGGGTCAGAAACTCTATGTGTGAGTACCCCATGCAGTACAGACCCTATTGGATTACAAAGGAAATCATTGGTTTAGCAACAGTCAAATGACCAAGTATCAAGCTATGTTATGTGAAAATCCAAGAGTACACCTTGAAACTGTCAATAATTTGAATCCAGCTACCATTCTGCACCAGACTACTGAAAGTCAACATGATTGTTTGGAGATAATGACGTGTTTTCAAGTAAGCCTGATCTTCATGATTTCCCCATCCAGAATCCGGACATACAGTATTATGCGGATGGTAGTAGTTATGTGAAAGAAGGTATACGTTATGCAGGGTATGAGGTAACAATCATAGACAAGGTGATAGAAGCACGGCCACTGTCGAAAGGGACATCAGCACAGAAGGCAGAACTGATTGCATTAACAAGGGCCTTGAAATTAGCTGAAGGGTTGAGAGTGAATATTTACACAGATAATACGCTTTTCTAACCACCCATGCGCATGGAGCATTGTATAAAGAAAGGGGATTGTTGAATTCAGAAGGGAAAGAAATCAAGTATGCAGCAGAAATACTCCAACTGTTAGAGGCGGTATGGGAACCGAAGGAAGTTGGTATTATACATTGCAGGGCACATCTGAAAGGTGATAGTGATGTAGTAAAAGGAAATCGCATGGCTGATAGTGCAGCAAAACATGCCGCTGAATCCGGGCAAGAGGAATATGTGGGGTATGTGTTGCCCTTGTGCCGGCACCTCTGTCTCAATGGACTCCAATATATACAACCCAAGAGATGGAGTGGTTGAAGACTGAAGCTGGGAAATACTTGGAGAATAATTGGTATCAGTTAGAAGATGGAAGAATAGTTATTCCGACATCTCTGGCTATAGAGATTTTTCAGAACTTCCATAATGGTACACATTCAGGAAGAGATAGTATGGAAGAATCTCTCAGGAAACATTTGTACATACCAAGATTATCCAATCTTACTCAAGCTATTGTTCGAAGATGTGTTTTGTGTGCTAGAAACAATGCAAGACAAGGCCCTGTCAAACCCCCTGTAGTTCAATATATGGGAGGACTCCCAATGTCAGATTTGCAAATAGACTACACTGCAATGCCTAAATCTGGGGGATATTGTTACTTGTTGGTAGCTGTGTGTACCTACTCAGGTTGAGTAGAAGCTTGTCCAACTCATACAGAAAAGGCAGGAGAAGTTGTATGATTTCTGTTGTGAGAAGTTATACCCAGATATGGACTTCTGTGTTCTATCGGATCAGACAATGGTCCAGTCTTTATCCATCAGTGTTTACAACAATTGACTCATGTGCTTGGTATTAAGTGGAAACTTCATACAGCATATAGACCTCAGAGTTCTGGAAAGGTGGAAAAGATGAACAGAACAATAAAAACCCAATTGGCTAAAATGTGTCAGGAAACTCAGCTCAAGTGGAATGTCCTTTTGCCAATAGCTCTGTTGCGGATACGTAGTACTCCTACCAGAAGAATGGGTCTGTCTCCATTTGAAATTGTGTATGGGCGTCCACCTCCCATACTCAGTAATCTAAGGGGGGACTTGAATCAGTTGGGTGAAGGAATCAGTTGGGTGAAGGAATTACTCGGCAGCAGGTTGTAGAGTTGGGTAAAGCTATGGAGGAAGTACAGAAATGGGTGCAAGATAGGTTACCTGTGAACATATATCCACCTGTTCATCCCTATCAACCGGGAGATCAAGTGTGGATAAAAGAATGGAATATTGTTCCATTAGGTCCAAAGTGGAGGGGTCCTTATGTTGTTCTTTTATCTACTCCAACAGCTGTAAAGGTAGCAGAAGTGGCTCTGTGGATTCATCATTCTAGGGTTAAACCAGCGGCAGATTCTTGGCAAGCTATTCCAGATTCTGAAAATCCTTGCAAATCCTTGCAAGTAAGAAATAATACGAGGAGATATTGGGAAATCTTAGTTGAAAGTAACAACAGATATCAGCAAGTAGGTGTTTTGACGGCCATAATAAAGCCTGCCCACCTACCTACGTGTCATAGCCAGAGTGTCTCGAAGGGACTTCTGTGAAGAAAAGTGAGGATCAGAAGAACGACGATCCTTGCAGCCCTCACAATCGGGAAGCTGAGGTGCCGTCGCACGGTCGAAGAGTAGAAATGAGGACTTCTGAAATAATATGTTATATTATGTGTTTAGGCATTTTTGTGATTTTTCAGGAAGGTAATGGGGAGGACATACAGAGTTGTGTTAGGTGCACTAAGACTACGAAAACAGGTAACCAAATATCCCAAACTCTCATCTGGCACTCACAGTATGAGTGTAGAAGATCTGTATCTAAGTGTAGATATTTAGATATAGATTACAGTGTGTGCAAACCAATATCAGGAGAGCCTAAATGTTTTGATCCCCAATCGCAACCCCGTACAATTTGGTTGGTAATTCGCAATATTAATTCCCAGGGGACCTTGATAAATAGGACTGTGGTAAATACCATACATTCTACGGGCATTCTACTATTTGATGCATGAAAGGCGATCTCTGGTAGTGGAAAACCTTGGAATGTATGTGGTAATCTTAAATGGGAACGAACTTATGGGTTTAATGATAAATATTTATGTCCCAGTAAGAGATCTACTGATCCTGATTGCCCAAATAGGGATTTTAATTTTTGTCCATATTGGTCTTGTGTAGGGTGGGCGACCTGGGGAAAAACAGTGGATCAAGATATGATTATCCAAAGGTTGCCCACTACACCACACTGTAAGTCTATGGAATGTAATCCTGTCTGTATGACCATCTCCAATCCACAACATTTTATTGATAAGTTTGGAAACCTATTTGGGTTCCAAATATATGGCACAGGTGTAGATCCAGGGACCATAATATATGTAGGACTTGAAACTGAGACGATAGCAACTCAAACTCATCAGGTTTTTTATTCCTTCTATGAGGAGATGAGTATTGAGGATAAAATTCCCCATAAAGTTAAGAACCTATTTATTGATTTGGCTGAGAGTATTGTGGGTAGTCTTAATGTAACTAATTGCTTTGTATGTGGAGGTACTAATATGGGAGACCAGTGGCCATGGGAGGCAAAGGAAGTATGGTACCCTGGTTCTGAGACAGATGAACAACAAATACTCTCTCAGTCTGATCATCAAGTAAGTACTAGAGGTAAATCAGAGTGGCGGTTAAAAACCTCCATTATAGGTCATGTATGTTTAGCCAGGAAATGGCCATTGTATACCACACCTGTTGGCGAGTTAATATGTCTAAGACAGAAAGCCTATAATGCCGATACTAAAGATACTACTTGGTGGTCAGCTTCAAATGTCTCAGAGCCTACTAATCCGTTTGCCAATTACACCCATTTAAAAGAGGTATGGTTTGACTTATCTGCTACATCCAATTGAAAAGCCCCAGCGAATTTATATTATATCTGTGGTAAGAAAGCATATTCAGAGTTACCACAAGATTGGGAAGGGGGAGAGAGGAGCTGCACGGACCGGCGCAGGGGAGGAGAGAGCTTGCAGTAGAGATTGTAAACTCTTCCTATTGTGGGGGCGTGGTTCCGGCTCTCACCAAGATGGCCGCGTAAAGAGTGAGCTCCGCTCCGCCGGACCCCTAAAAAGCATCGCAAACAGCGCATAACCAACTTAATGGGGCGCACTAAACGCCCGGAGCAGCCCCAGACCCCAAGGCACCCCTCACAGGGCCCGCTGGACGGTTACCTGCAGCCGCAGACAGGAACGAGCGGAGACTCCGGGAGTCCCAAAATGGCGGCACCATCCACCTCAGGACCGACACTCGATCGGATTGAAAGCACCCTGCGGGACTTGGCAGCAGCCATGGTCACGAAAACTGACCTCCAGGCTAACACTACTGCTATCCAGGAAACCCTGCGGACGGAGATTGCAGGGATCCGCACGGAACTCGCAACGCAAGCAGGCCGCATCACTGTGGTGGAGGAGGCGAACGCGGCCCTCACGACCCGCATGGCAGCTACTGACACAGCAGTGGCAAGACAGGGCGAGATGCTGCTCTCCATGCGTCGGCACCTCGAAGATGTGGACAATAGGGGCAGGAGATGCAATATACGTATTCGTGGTGTGCCAGAAACAGAAGGGTCGGAAAACGTAATTGAAATCCTTATGGAACTCTTCCGCTCCCTATTACACCCGACCCCGCTGCCAGAGATAGAATTTGAGCGTGCACATAGGGCCCTGCGACCTCGCAATGTGGAAGAAGGGCCGCGGGACCTAATATGCTGCCTACACTCCTTCCCAGTGAAGAATACTATTATGGTAAAGGCACGGGAGCGGCAGACCTGGCCCTTTAGAGGAGTTCAAGTCGCCCTCTATAACGATCTATCTCCCATAACCCTGGAAGCCAGACGAGCCCTTCGCCCGGTTACTGCGACTCTGCGAGACCGAAATATCCAATACAAGTGGGGCTTCCCCTTTGCCCTGATGGCTAGATACCAGAATAGATGGCTCACCCTGAGATGGCCTGAAGAGGTACCGCAATTTATGGAAACAATGGGCCTCCCTACACCACTAGTCCCTAACTGGATATTGGGACCATTAGGCCCACAGCCAAGACCACAGCGGGGACCTAGACAGAGAGAAGTGAGACCTCGTCCTGCTCCGCACACCGGACGGCGCGGAGACCCAACAGCTCCAGAGGAGTAACCGCCTCGGCCCACCCACGCTCACGATGGCTGCATGTGACCTTTTGGCAACCCACCCAGGTATTTACTCGAGGTCTCCCCCCGGAGAAACTGACCCTGGCATGATTATCCCGACACCCTGCTACCTGAGATCCGCTCCTACCAGATGAACAGATTTGATACGTGGATTGCCGCCAGGTACATTGGGTTATCGATTAGGGGGTTCGGGGCGGGGGGACGTGGGCATAAGGACACACACAAAGGGACTATGTACTTGTGAGGCTGCCACACGGGGTATGCACTTGCCTCACCACCCACCCCCCAACAGCATAACAGCATGAGAGGTTTCAAGCAAGGAGCAAGCAGTCATTGTTTTGGGGCGGGGGGCTCAGGGAGGATGCAGGCCGCGCAGGACGAACGCCCCTAGGGGAAACCATAACTTTACCTGAATCCCTAACCTCGGTTATCGTTCGGGGTCATTGTTCCGCAGAGGAGGACTCTCAGCCCAACCATATGCACTTAAAAGTTCTATCTGCTATCCGCGGGGAGGGTGGGGGAGGGAACCTGGAGGGCAACGGAATTGAATATCAATGCTGCATATAATGTACCATGCCGCTGACTAACCCACGTTTACCGCTGTATACACTCTTGCACAATGTTTTATTTCAGAGGCTTTAGTTGGCATAGGGCCGGTGGTTCCCTCACTAGACCCCGCTGGTTTGCTGATGTCGCTCCCTAGAATGATAGGGCGAGCTGATACACTTTTCCCGACAGACGATAGATCCCCCTACTAACAATTATATCTCCGAAGGACTAACTTATAGCTTAGGCCCACACGTGACTCCCTAGTAATGTCTTTTTATCTTAGAGCACATAAATCCATACCTGTACTCAACCCACTGGCAAATGAACGTCTGTGGTTTTACTTATATACGAACCCCCCCCCACCCCCCACTTGAGTACCGACAGGTGCATAGCCGGAGAATGACCTACACATGACGCATGAGATATACATAAATATTGGATCAGAAACCCGGAGGAGCGCTTAGGATGGACAAAGGGGCCCCCGACATAGGGAACCCCACCGCTGGTGGGTGCAGGGGTGCTAACATTTAGCGACAAGGGACTAAGGGTTTACTTAGATTGACCAGAGTGGGTGGACGATGGGTGGGCATCTTCCTTCTTCGAGGGAGTACTTGGGGAATGATGGGTTATACTGTTTTCTGTTCATCGGCCTCAGGGGCCATGTTTGACAATACGTTATTTGTTGTTATTACCAGTGTGCTTTTATTGTAACTGTACAATTTACGCAGGTTATTGCTATCCATTCGAACCTGACCATGGGGGATAAGGTGGAGCGGAGAACCACGTATCTAATCCCCGAAACCTTACCTGGGTGGAGCTCGAGCCGCGTTCTCCAACACATACACTCGTGCCAAGAGGTTAGTGACCAGACGGCAGGGTCCCTCGGCTCCTGGGCTGGTACCGGAGCGAGCCCCAGCTGGTGCTGGTCGCCGCGCGAGTCTTCCCCCCTCTTTTGTAGTAGTGTTCTAGATCTACTTTAGGGATCCCACCGGACTCTGGGGGGTAACCACAAAAAGGGACACTCACCTCCTCTCATACTCTGCTTGGCGCAGTTGATCCCGCGCCCGGGGACCCGAAATTACTACTTGTGCGCTCTTCTATAACACACTTTCCCCTCTTTCCTTCCCCATCGCTCCCTTTCCCCCCCTCTCCCGCTTTCTTCCTTGTTCCCTCCACGTTCGTGCCGGTCCGCACCCCGGACGGGTGGCTTTCCCTGCGGTAGCGGACTAACGGTGCAACCTCCTGACCCCGTATTACACCGGGAGTGTATCCGACCCACATAGTGACCATGGCCTACTGTAACGCACCCCTAAAGGTCATCACACAGAATTGTAGAGGACTCAACATACCTGAACGGAGGACGCACCTGTTACGGGAATTGAGGAAAAAACATGTGGCTATAGCTATGCTCCAAGAGACGCACTTCAAGGAAGGTTCTACTCCTAGACTACGGAATAGGCATTACCCCGATAACTACTTCTGTAATCACCCAACGGCCCACAAATCTGGAGTGGCTATATTACTAGCTGCGGAACTGGAATTTAAAGAATTGGACCGCGTTCAAGACTCACAGGGACGATATCTCTTCCTCAAGGGCATCATAGCAGATAAGATATATACCATTGCGACTATTTATGTGCCCAATCGGAGGCAGGCCCCATTTATCCGCAACGCCATGCATCAATTGGAAGACTTCACGGACGGGATACTATTAGTAGGAGGCGACTTCAACGCCCCGCTGGACCCAACGCTGGATTCCTCCACGGGTCATAGCTGCCTTCCACAACACAGCATTAGCTCCATTCGACAATCCATGGAAGCCCTGAGACTGGTGGACTGTTGGAGGACACTTCACCCCACGGGGAAAGACTATACCTACTACTCCGCCCTTCACAATCGTTATTCCCGTATAGATTACATCCTCATTGCACAGGAAGGCCTTTCCCACCTACGCGGAGCAGAGATCGAAACGGCCACCTGGTCGGACCATGGATCGGTCGGGATAGAATTGGAATCGCCCCTGTACAGACCGAGGAAGTGGACCTGGAGACTTAATGAAGCCCTACTGCTTGACCCAGGCACCAAGGACCAAATCCGACAAGCACTGGAACAATACTTCGGAGAGAATGATACCCCGGAGGCTTCTCCGATTTCTGTATGGGAAGCCCACAAAAGTGTGCTTCGAGGCATTCTCATACGCATTGCCTCCCAGAAGCGGAAGGCATTCATGCAAGAAATGGTTGACTTATATCGATCTATATCGACCCTGGAACGCCAACACAAACGCTCCCAGCTAAACGCAGTATACGGAGAATTAATGGAGCACAGGAGACGACTTAAAGATCTCATCCTGAAAAGGCATCTCCGATCCGTACAACGCTCGAAGGGCTTTTATTATGTGCACGCCAACAAAGGGGGTAAATATCTGGCGAGACTACTGAAAGGCCCCTTGCCCCATAGACAGATACGTAAGATTCGCTTGACCACGGGAGAGATCTCCCCATTCCCTCAGAAAATAGCCGGTGAATTTAGGTCTTTCTATGAACACTTATACAATCTGTATACGCCCAACGGAGCCACCGACGCAGCTGGAGAACGCACAAAGATACAGAATTTCCTGGATGACACAGTCACTAACACGATTGCCCAGGATTCGGCAACGCTTTTGGACACCCCGATCATGGTGGAAGAATTAGCCGCAGCCCTGAAGACATCAAAATCCGGCAAGGCCCCAGGCCCAGATGGTTACTCTACGGGATACTATAAAAGCTTCTCAGGAGTGCTACTCCCTTGGCTAACCAAGGCGCTTAACGCTGTAGGCGACGGAGGGACCCTGGGAAAGGAATCCCTGGCAGCCACCATCACGGTCATATTTAAACCAGGGAAGGACCCATTACAATGCAGCAGTTACCGACCGATCTCACTGCTGAATGTCGATGCTAAGCTGTTCACGAAAGTCCTTGCAACTAGGCTTAAACATCTACTCCCCGATTTAATACACGCGGACCAGACGGGATTCATCCCGGGCCGGGAAGCTAGAGACAGCACTCTAAGGTTGTTCTCTATCCAACATCACGCAAGGAAGACAGGAACCCGGCTCCTTCTGCTATCAACAGATGCTGAAAAAGCATTCGACCGGGTCAACTGGACATACATGTTGGAGACCCTGAAACGGCAGGGCTGCGGCCAGAGACTCATCAAGTGGATATCTGCTATATACAGTAGACCACGTGCTTCGGTAAGGATTAACGGAGCCACAACCGAGGACTTCGCGATTAGCAACGGTACCCGACAGGGATGCCCACTCTCGCCTCTGCTGTTCGCAATGACCTTGGAGCCACTGCTACAGGCGATACGCCAAAACCCGGACGTACAGGGTTATGAATGGCAGGGAGCCCATCATAAGGTTGCTGCATACGCAGACGATCTCCTTTTCTTTGTCCGCAACCCCAGGATCACCCTACCATGTCTCCTCTCCGAATTTGACAGATTCGGACAGATATCCGGTTTCAAGCTTAATATCTCGAAATGCGAGGTCCTGAATTTGACACTCCCGACGGATGAATTCCAATCCCTGGAACCAGAATTCGAGTTCCACTGGTGCCGTGACAAGATGAAATACCTGGGCATCTGGGCGACTGTGGACCCGGGAGATATTTACCAACACAACTTTACACCCCTACTGAAGAACATACTCGCAGACTTGTCCAGATGGTCCTACCCGCATATCACCTGGCACGGGCGAGTTGCGGTGATAAAAATGAATATTCTCCCGAGGATCCTGTATCTCATGCAGACTATACCTCTCGCACTCCCGTCGACCTTCTTCTCTACCTTGAAAACAGCAGTAATCAAATTTATCTGGCGGGGAGGACGATCTAGGATCCGACATGACATCATTTGCCGACCTAGACTCTACGGAGGGATAGCACTTCCAGATTTTAAGAAATATCATCAGGCAGCGGTCATGCAACGTGTCTTGGATTGGCACTCC